CCCCGGGGGTCCGCGTCTGCGTTCGTCGGGGAGCGCGCGGCTGTGAGGGAGGCCGGCGCGCGCCGCAAGGGGCGGGCTCCACCTGGCTGCGGGCAGATGGAGGGTCACTTTGTTCCGACCGACCCCGGCACCCGAGGGAGGATGTGAAACGGAACGACCCGTTTCAGCGCGGTTGGTTTGTTTATTTGCCTCCTCCCGAGACGCCTCGGCTTCTGACGTCGCCAGTCCCGAGAGAAGACGAACGGCTGCCACCGCCGCTGCCGCCAGACGGGGTCGCCTGCCTCGCGTTGGCCGCCTGTTTCTCGGGCCACGTACGCAGCTTCGCAGAAGGGAAATGTTTGGGGTTTGACGATAGACGCGCGTATGAGTGTGCTTTAAAGCCCACAGACAGCTTAGTGACTTATGTATTCATTCAGGAAATATCAGCGCGCCTACGAGCCGGAAATGTACTAGGCTTAGGATCACTGCACTCCCCAGCCCGTATCTCATGCCTGTCCTCATCATAGAGCTTGCACCAGGTACCTCCTCGGAAATATACGCCAGATGTGAAATCGCTGTCTTCTGGGTTGTTAAATGCCTCGGGTTGTAAATCCATATATTTGAATAGATTTTCAGTGATGAGGGAAGAAATCCCACATTAAATTTATATCATTTTCCCAATATGTGGAGAAAAGGAAGAGAGTCTTGGTAATTCCAGGCACAGAAACCTGTAAAAATAGGAGCTAATGGGTCCAGCCAGATGGCGTAGTGGTTAAGGTGGCTGGATTCCACGTGATCAGCAGCGCTTGAGAAACCCTCCAGGCGTATATGCGTTTGTGTCCTAGGTCCAAAGGGGAGAAGGGATCACAGCGTGGTCATCCTCCCTGGCGGGGTGATTTGTCATTTCTTGCCTCCAGTGAGTGAGAAACTAAAAAAAAACCCTATATTTAAAACATTATATTTAAAAATAGAAGCTAATAAATGATTATAATCCCACACTTTTTTAAACTGTTCTAAATCAGACTGGTTGAGCACACCAACAAAGAATAGATTAAGGGTGGAATCTCTCCAGCAGCTTTATCATTTCAAATTGTATCTAGGAAGGACTAGATAAACCAGGTTGGAAACTATATGGTTGGAATTCAGAGGTCAATAGGAAATAGACTGGAATCTTTAGATTTAAAATCTACATTGAGACAAGATCTTGGTCTGTGTCTACCCATACATAACATTGCCTAAAGCAAGTAATTGAGTTTAAATCTACAAGCTTACTGTTTGCTTTCCATTTGTGTCATCTGTTTTATGTTCCTTTCATGCCTTTTTTTGGATTTTAAAAAATTCATTCTCTTTCAACAGTTAGGTTGTTATACATTCTCTATTCTTTTAGTGGTGTTTTAGTTATTTGTGCAAGCTTCCCCGAGGCATAATGACTTAAAACAATAATTCCTGTTTGCTCATGATTTGACATTCTCTGACTCAATATTTCACCCAGGCAGGGCATTGTATAGGTGACTCGTTTCTACTCCATGATGTCTGGGACCTCAATTAGAATGGCTCAGATACCTAGGATGGCTCAGCTGGGGCCATATGACTTCAAACATGAGGCTAGAGATGGAGTTTCATGATTAAATGAAGGAATTTCATAATACGGAAAGCATGAAGATAGACATGACAAGCTAAGGCTGAAGTAGAAAGACAGAATGCTGTTGTCTACATTCCTTGGGTTTTCTCTACGTGGCTTCTCCTTCTGGCTAACGTGGGTTTCCTCACAGCATGGTAATCTTGAGGTTGCAAGAGGGGGCATTCCAAGACAACCCTCAGTGTGCAAGCCTTTACTTACATCATGCTTGCTAATGGGTCATTGGCCAAAGCAAGTCACGTGGTGGTCCAGCTGTTCTTGCGGGAGGAGACTACACAAGGTTGTGAATGTTGGGAGGTGTGGTTCATTGGAGGTTACTTAAATGAGGGGTAGATCACCCTAGTCTACTTAGGAATTAATAATGAAAATTACTTTCAGGTGTAA